CGTCTCCATATGAGACTCTACACAATCCGACAGTGCTCAAACTACGCACGCGCAGTGAGCGTACTCTACAAAACATAGAATTAATATATTTTGTTTATACTATATATATATTAACTAATATAAGTTTGAAAATTTGTAATCCAGGCAATGAATACATCAAAGAAAAAAGTTTCTCCGGATTTTTAATTGATTTTTTATTGAGCATTCCACTCGTTGCTTCGATCCTTCATCAGAATGAGGATATTTATTTACACGTGCTTTTTAGCTTGGAGACGTTTAGAGCGTCTAATTGGATAAGTGGGTGGATTAATTTGATTGGATGGGGTGAAATGCGTTGCCATGGGTTTTAGTGTATTGTTAATATGATTGGTGTTAATAATATTACAGTGTAGTGTTTTAGTTTTGGTGTTGTTTGTAGTTTTTTTGTCCTTTTTCTTTAGTTGTGAGTATATGATAGGTATGTCGATGGATTAATGTGATTGGATGGGGTGAAATGCGTTGCCATGGGTTTTGGTGTATTGTTAATATGATTGGTGATAAAAATATTAGAGTGTAGTGTTTTAGTTTTGGTGTTGTTTGTAGTTTTTTTGTCCTTTTTCTTTAACTTGTGACTATATGATGGGTATGTCGATATGTCTGTTTATTGTGTCGTTGTCTTTACTGTACCAAGCTTCTTTAAATTCGTGTGCGTGTTTAAACTGTGTGCGTCCGAGTACTTTAGTTTCTGTCCAGTCGAATGTGTGGTTGTTTCCGTGAGTATGTTCTGCCGGTAGTGAGTTCGGATCTGGTCGTTTTATGGCGTTTTTGTGTTCAGTTAGACTTGTTTCAATTTTCTTAGATGTTTGTCCTATGTATTGCTTTGAACAGTCTTTACATGGTATCATGTAAATCGCGTCAGTTGCATCATGAATTGTTGTTTTGTCTTTATGTTTGGTGAAACATGATTTGAGTTTTTGTGTAGGTTTGTGGGTGACGTTAATATGAAATGGTCGAAGAAGTCTGGCAGTCATTTCTGATGCTCCGTTTATGTATGGTAATGTGACGATTTTTACTGTTTCGTCCGGTTTTTTGTTGGTTTTGTCGGTTTGTGTTTTGTTTTGTATTTTGTATATAGTTTTGTTTATGAAGTTTCTAGGGTAATTGTTTTTAATAAATGTGGTATATAAGTAGTGGCGTTCTGTTTTTTTGCCTTTTTCCGTATTACAATGAGTGTTTATCATGTTAAAAAGTGTTCGAATGCAGCTTATTTTGTGTTGTGTTGGATAATTGCTGTTGAAATCGAGTATTGGTCTGTGTGGGTGGTTTTGAGGTATACTTGTGTGTTTAGTGTACCGTCATCTAATCTGGTTAGTAGGATGTCGAGGAAGGTAAATTGTTTGTCGTGTTCTTCGTCTTTAGTAAATATAATGTTCTTTGTGGTATTGTTTATGGTTTGTAGGATTTGTTCAGTTTTGTCTTTCTTGACTATGGCAAAGATGTCGTCGACATATCTTTTCAATAGTCTATTGTTTGTGTTGTTTGTGATTGATTGTGTTTCGAGGTGTTGTATGACAGCTTCTGCGAGAAAGGTGGATAGTGGTGATCCCATTGGTGTGCCTGAAATTTGTCTGTAGTATGTGTTTTGGAAGGTGAATTCAGTGGAGAGGCAAAGGTTGAGTAAGTCTAGGATGTCATTTTTGTCTAGTTGTGTTGTAGCTTGCCAAGTTTTGTCGTTTGTGAGTAGTTCGTTTGTAATTTGTTTGGCAATGTCTAGTGGTATGGATGTGAAGAGTGATGTCACGTGGTAGGATATCATGATTTCGTCTGGTTATAGTTTAATGTTTTCAATACTATCGAGGAAAGTGGTGGCGTTTCTGATGGTGTGAGCTAAATTTTTCACTAATGGATACAGAATGTTATAAAGATATTTTGAAAGTTCACACGCAGGTGATCCTGGAAGCAATACAATAGGTCGGAGTGGGTTGTTTTCTTTGTGGATTCTTGGTAGGCCGTAGAATTTAGCGGTGGATGCGTCATTGGGTCGGATTTTTTTGTAATCGTTTTCGTTTAGTTTCTTTTTGTCTTTTAGTTGTTTCAGTTTGTGGTTGATGCGGTTGGTGGTCGTTTTTCTGGGGTCTGTGTTGAGAAGTTCGTTGATGGTAGTGTCTTGTAGGAGAGTAACATATATATACACACTATAAACACCATACACGCTATACACACTATACACACCATACACACTTTGCACACTATACATACAATACACACAAAACACACTATCCACACTATATATACTATACACACCATACACATTATACATAGTATACACACTATACACACTATACACACTTTACACACAATATGACTGTTCCATCCATTCCATTCCTTCCATTCCATTCCTGTCCTTCCTGATCTTCCATTCCATCTCCCTTCCTATCCATCCATTCCATTCCTTCACACTGATCGATACTCCCAATCCATTCCATTCCTTCATTCCTTCCATTCCATCCACTCCATTCCATTCCATTCCATTATCCTTCCTTCATTCCATATCCATTCCATACCTTCTTCCATTCACATTCTAACATCTCTTCCTTCTTCCTTCCACCATACATTCCTCCATACCACACTATACTTCCATTCCATTCTTCCTTCCTACATCTTCACATTCACACTGGTCTTCCTTCCATTATCCTTCCACCTCCATTCTTTTCATTTTCATCACACTATACCTTCTATACCCTTACTTATCCATACACACTTTATCACCTTCCATTACATTCTTCCTTCCACACATTCTTCTTCCTTCCATCATTCCTTTTCTTCACTCCATACTTCCTTTCACAATACACACTATACACACTTCCATTCTTCCTTCCTAATTCCCTATCCTTCCATGTTCCATTCCATTCACTTCTTCCTTCATTCTTCCTTCATCCTTCACATTCTTCTTTTCATCCTTCTTATTTGTTCTTCATTATTATACCCATCCATTCACTTCATTCCATTCCACTATACCTTCCATACCTTCATACCATCCTACCACTATACACTTCACATTTTCCATTCTTTCATACACTTCCACTTACATTCCATTTCTTCCATTACTTCCTTCTCCACTATTCTTCCATTCCTCCATACTATTCCATTCACCCTTTTATCTTCCATACACACTGGACACACTACACATCTATACCTCCTTCATACATTAATACACCTTCATACTTCTTCACTATTCCTTCTTACATTCTTCCATCCTTCCTTCCACTATACATTCCATTCCACCATTATCCACCTATACTCCTCCTTCCTCCATTTTCAACCACCATACACATACACCTCTGTATCATACCAGATCCTATCCATTCCATCCATCCTTACTATCCATCCATTACCCCTTCCATTCCATTCCTTCCTCCATTCACTTCTTTTCACTATACAGACCATTCACTTCCATACCATTCCATTCACTTCACACTATACACATTATACACTATCCTTCCATACACTCCATTCCTTTCTATCCATTCCTACACACCTACACTATTCACACTATCCTCACACTAATTTTCATTCACCACTATACACCTATAACCAGCCTGAATCACCATCTATACCTATAATACTTCCTTCCACTGTTTCACTATACATTCATCCATTCCACCACTTACCATACAATTCTATCCACTATACACCATACCTAAATACACACCCTCACCTTATCCACTAATACTTCATCATTCTACCATTCCTTCATTCCACCTCCATTCCTTCCTTTTACACACTACCTCCATTCACTTCATACACTTCACACACTTCACTTCTTCCACCACACCTCATTCACACTTTGTCACACTATACACTATACATACCATACACATACCATACCATTCTTCACTTATACCACTACTATACTTATTACATCCATCCTTATACATTGTACACATATACCTATACATACTATATATCCATTCTTCCATACACCTATACACATATACACTTCTTCACATTACATTCACTTCACATACCTTCCTTCCTCACATACCACTATGACACTCAATATCATTCACTTCTTCCACATTCTTCTAATCTACCTTATTCCACACTATTTGCCCTCCATACCTATCCACTGCCAGTATATCACCTTCTAATCCATACACTCGACCTATGTTTGCACTCTGACAGCCTCATATCACACCATCACATGGCCTGCTAATACCTGGTCAATAATTCACGTTAATACTAATGCAGTCATACCCTATTCTGCACACCTATAACACTATACAACCATACACATACCTATCAATACACACTATATACACTACCATACACATTATTCACTATCCATTACTATACTTTAATACACACTTATACACTATCCATTCCTTACATACCTATACACATATCCATACTTCACTTCTATCACATTACTTCATACCATCTTTCCACTGGGCTATACTTCATACACACTTCACTGGATTCTTACATTCTCATACCACTATACCACCATACCTTATTCCATTATACCCTATCCATACACCTTACACCCCTCCATTCCATTCACTTCCTTCTTCCACTATTTCCATTCACACCTTCACCTGTCACATGCTGACTTTGATTCTTCACCTCCATTCACATAATGCTTCCTTCAAGACCCATTTCCATCCTTCCATCCATTCCACCTTCCATTCCATTCTTCTTCCTTCACTTACACCTTCCTCCTTCCTCACATTCCTACTAAGACCCTCATCCACTGTACTCCTGTCCACACCTTCCATTCCATTTCCAGTTTCCTTCATCCTTCCTGATTCCTTTCACCCTTCCACCACAAATCACACTATACACGCCACCAAACTATACACCTTATATTCACTATACACACCATACTAAACTATAAGCATAGGACAAAAGGGACACTAAAAGAGTGTAAAAACACACGCACGCAAGAAAACTGAAGTGAAAACATCATTTTCCTGGTTGAGGTAGTAAAGTAAAGTTATCAAAGAAAGATCATTAACAGGTAGAAGTGAACTGTTGTAATTTTGTCAGACAGATAACACTAAGTCTACGCAACATTTTTCCTGATATTTTTTCTAGTAAATGCATGTCCCACCAGAGGTAGCAGGATTCTTAAATCTTAACAGTCCTGACAAACTTTAAAAAGAATAAATACTGCTATCTGACAATACAAATTAAAAAGAGAAAATAGTTCATCCCATAGATAAAGAAAAATAATGTTAACTATCAAATTACAAGTTCGTGGTGTTATCCTTGCTTTGTATTTCAACACCGCAACTTGCTGCTTGTCTGAAGAATAATTCCTTCGCAAATTTGAAAAGCTCAATATCGTCTTCATTGACTTCCTTTATTCGCTGTAAAATCCTATTTGAAAGTGATTTCCGTTGTTTTGTTTTTGCAACAAAATAGTTGATAAACCCCTTTTTGGGAAGAGGCCAAACAAAATCTGGCAAACGTTTGCTTAAAACAGTAAGAAATTCTTTTAAATGGTCAGTAATTCCAATGCTCATATATCGAAACACCATATTCCATTTTGCTTGAGCCAGTGCTTTTGGGCTCCCATCTTTACAAAAAGCGTAAGGATTACAAAAAGCGCGTCATTTCATTCCATTCACAACCAAGATACTGGTTTTCCAAACATTCTTTCATGGTTGCGTTTGGATAATACAGCCTATTTTTCGAACAGTTTTTTCTGAAAATAGGAGTTTTTGTGAAGTAAAAGTACGACGCAAAACGAGAAACAGGTTCTCTTAGCATATTAATGTATGTTGCATCAACGTCAGGACGAAAAAACACATGACCAAATAAAAACAGTTTTCTGTTTCTTTTCTTTGTTTTTATTATCAGAGACTTAAATTCTTGGATAGTCGAATAATTTACATTTTCATTTTTTTTATCTTCCATGAGTCCTAGAAAATTAAGATACATTATTTTAGATATTTGTTACATATAATACAGCATGCAAAGTTGTTTACTATTTTAAAGTTTCTCGTCTTAAGGTAAATAATAAACCAGTTTTTGGATGTGACGGCTGCGGAACATTTGCATAATTTTAAGGGGGGGCTCATATATACATGTTTTACTTTATTTGTTTACATTGTAATCAATTGTGTTTACATTTTATTATATACAAATATATGAACATAGTCCCCCAATTATCAATGCTCCGCCCCCCTTGGCTGGATGAGGTCGAGCATGAGATCAAGAATAAAAATCAAGAAATCAAGGTCCGTGTCACCATCGAAGCTTATTAACTAATAATAATAAAACATATCAATGGAAAATATTTTAAAACTTTCGCTATGTTTTCGTTGTGATACGATATATTCCAGTTCTTCTGCGTTACATATGTTGTAAGTATGTTACAACCAGCTTTCACTTTATTTGTGTTTTCCCATTCTTTTGTTTAAAAACATGAGTAAAACCGAGATAGTGTGGTTGGCATGCATGACTTTTCCTACTTGCAATAAACAGAAAAATATATGATTAGAATCTGTTTTTTAAGACATGCGTATGTATTGCTAAAATCTTTACTGCATTGAAGCGGATGATTCAACAAAAACATTCCGACAAATTTTTTTCTTTGACCTGCTTGTTTCTGTAGTGTTTCACAATCACAACGGCCGTAGCTGTTTACGGTCTTGCATAAAAAAGTGATACTCATTATCATTTTAAGTAAACAGTGCTTTAAAGACGACTATTTCCTTTGCTATAGTTATTAAAGCAAGTCAATTTTAATGGAAGTGTACTAAAAACACTAAATATTTCATGCATGACTGCATTTTTGCATCTTTGGCTATTTAAACTGCCCTCGAACAAACCAAATCAGTATTTTCGGCTTTTAGCTGTATTTTTGAAGATAGGAGCAAGTAAACCTAAGAGCTTTGCATAATATGAAAAATGCAAGTATATTTCTTTAAACTATAAAACAAAGTACTTGTTGCATGTATGTAAGCTTTGTACATGTCTTTGTCATTCAAATATCTATACCTGAAATTTTTTGTGTCTTCTAAACTACCTTGTAACCCACAAGGAGCCAGAACTTTTTAAACGTTTGTGGACACTTTGTTTTGTAATATTTGCCGCAGCCAACAACAGCCTCTAGTGGTTTAAACAATGAAAATTGCCCAAATTATGATTCTGAACATAAAATACATACTGTAACATGTGCTATAATCATTCTAGTTAACAAGAAGTGTAATTTGCTAAAATTCTAAGTGGCACCTAAATTTTCTCAAATATAAAAAAACTGACTGAGCACATGCTCAATAAAATTTTGATACGCATACCTCTTGAAAATTTTCTCCAAAGTGCCTTTCAAAATAACGCTATGGGAAAATGCCTTTTATGTTAAAACATTATCTTTGAGGTTTCCTTAAACAGATTTTCTTCTAAACGTAAGAAATGTAGCAACTCAGGTTGCAGATTTTAACTTAAATGTCTTTCTCATGTACCATTTACATTTTCAACAAATTATACTTTTTGTATAGTAAAATAATTAAAGCACATGTGTTTTGTTATTTCAGAATCTCTACGCGTGGACAATTTTCAGGATAAAGAATGAGTTAGAGATCGTAAAAATTTTGCATGTTAGAATATTTCAATAAAAACCACGACAAAATGTGGCCTATGTTCATGAAATACTAAGTTGTTTTTCAACTTTAAAAAATATATGTACATGTTCTTCAAGACATACACACTTTTTCTTAAAGCACACAAATTTTGTGTATTAAAAAACACAAAATTGTTTTTTAAAGTATCTTTTTTTTAAAATATACAATTACGCAAAACTTTTGTAGAAGTAATTTAAGTCATTAGAAACTTCTCTCACCTAAAACATTAGTATCAATGCTGCAAACTATTTTATTTTTAAATATGACAAAGTAGTGGAAATACTAATTTTAAGATGGCTTTTGAGCAATATTTGAATAAGACTGTCATAAAGTCAGGTATGAATTGTACAGAATGAGTTTTGGTTTCCAATGGCTTATCTACCAAAAAAAGTTTTGCCACGCTATTGTATACTGAGCCACGCCCTGTGACGTCACGATTTTCGATCATGTGTTGAGAAAGACATAATTACGTTGAGGAAGTTCAATGTGCAAACAAATAAGAAAGTTTCCGAAAAGTCAATACAAAAGTTATTTTGTAAATTTTCGATCTCAACTTTATCATCATTTTAGTGGCTTCTCATTTTTGTGGGTAGCCGCTGCGCATGCATCACAATGCTGCACTGAAAAAGTGTCCATTTGTCTGTCGTAATCATCGGAGATTCTCGGATATACGGATGACGACGAAGAATTCTGCTTTGTGTGTTCGTTGTTTTCATCGGAAAATATCGCATATTGTTTTAATAAATAAACTACTATTGAGTGAAACTTTTCGGTGAAGCAACATCAAACTTTGTTTGTTGAATAATATTAAAATGCAATGTCTTTATTCAATTCATTAAACTTAAATTATTGTGGTCATATCTAATAACTCGATTTCTCACTTATGCTTTTTTATTGAAATTTTACGGCAGTTATTTAATAGCGTACTGCGTAATACTATCATTATGACAATGAATCTAAGTGAATGATACATCTGAGTTTCGAGAGCCTGACAAAAATGCAAAAAGCATGTAACAATCGCACTGTTGCTACGCAACTGCCATTTGTATGAAAGTTTGAGTTTAATGGGTGTCAAACCAATATCATTGTTAAAAATATTCGCTTAGAATTTTTATTATACATAGTAATAATCCTAACACCGTTGTTTAATTGCACATGAAAAACATGTGACTTGGGCGAGATTTGAGCTCAAACCTTCGGGATACTAGTCCGCCTTTCATTTGGAAGGAGCTAATCTCGCCACCACAATGCATATTACATTTTAATACCATTGTTCCTCTGACACAACTTCCCTTAGTATGACCCCAGCCGAAGAATCACAGTTAATTAAAGAATTGTAAAACTTGTTAAACCTTTATGTAATACTAATACTTATGCTTATATTATTTTGTATACTCTAGACGCTGCTTGCATTTCGTAACAACAGGACCTTTAGATTGAGCAAATAACAATAAGATTTTGTTGTAAATTAAGAACATCATGAATTAAATTGTCGTCATTCTTGCTTGCTTCCAAATCATATGCCAAATTACCAAGACCACAAACGGCCAAATCACCAGCAATACCATTAAAAATTTTTGGCACTAGGAGCACAAGTGTGACTGTCATGACCAGCCAATTACCAATTACGCCATCATTTGAACCACAAGCTACGTCATTGCTAACACAAAGAGCATGCAATTGTCTTCGCTTTGTTTGAGGGGCAGGCAAGCACTGTTTGAGGCATCACGTAGCAACTAAAAACATTACAAATACAGCCTTTACTCTGAAATGTGCCATTACAACGAAACATGCATAAGCTCAACATAGCTCATTATATTGACATGAATATAACATTTAACTGCAGAATACATCTCTGATATTTTGAAGATAATAAGGTACTTAGAATTCTTTTTTCTTTGGCTGATATACTCGTTGTATTGACATCTCCATCGCCTACCACATCAACTGTGGGAATGGAACCTCGATTTAAGAATCTGTGGTATTTCGGTTATCAATTTATTCTAAGCTATTTACAAAACGCTTTACAAAGCAACTTTCTTCGAAATGAACAGAGCACAGGCATATTCGTGACTAATATTCTGTTGGGTTGAAGTCGGGGCGGTCCCTTTAAACAAAGTGTACACACTGCTTTCGAAAAGTCGGTTCTTTTGGAAAACAGTGCATACTAATACCCGGTGTATCGCCCCTATTTGTGCAAGATTTCTTGTTTGGCCCTCCAGCAACACAGAACAAGTTTAAATTTTCTATTCCTCCACTTATTTGGGCAAGATTGGTGTCCTATCCTCATTATGCGCGCTTATCACTAATATGTATTGTCTCAGAAATTGAAATCGATAAAAGTTGCCACTCGCAATAATCGCGAGTTTATAAATGTTTTGAAACTTATCTCGATGTTTGGAGTGAAATATTCTCCTTATAATAAAACGCTATTACATTTGTGTGACGAATTTTAAGCAAAAAAGGAGCCATTCCTCGAAGTATCGAGATAAGATTTGTTCGATTATCACAAGGCGCAGCTGATATGCAAACAAATCGTGCCTGTTCCTTACGTCACTGGAAAAAGTTTGACCTCTTTTGAGTGCGCGTAGATGGACCACTTTTGAAACGCATATTTCAAATATGGGCTGAGAGATAACAAGTAGATTAAAATAATTGACATTAGAAAAAGAAAACAACATTAGTATCTGAGATAATTGCAATTAGAACATTAGAGGACATGGGACATATATTTTTTCATGGCGCGATATCATTCATTGCAGTTTAGTATTCCGTAAAAAATTATTTTTCCGGTTTGAAAATATATATTTAAAGCGCAATTTAGAATGAAAGTTTGCTTATTTCAAGGGCTGTTCCGCCATCTTGAAATCAGCAGCCAAAATAATTAGATTTCATATGTGACGTCACAACAGGGAGACTTTCGCTGCTGAATATTGTTTATATTGCAAATTGACTAGCATTCTCATTTTTTACGCAAAGTTTGGGACTTTTCACTGCTGTTACAGCACTCAAAATGGAAAATATGAACAAAGATGCTATGGTTCAGTCATATATGTTTGAGCCAATGCCAGATGAATTTGTACAGAGTTAGAATTCTGACTCAGAAAGTTCTTCGTCGAGCGAAGTAGATGATCAGACAGACGACAAGTTTGATGCTATGTATAGTTGGCGTAAAACTTCACTCAGTTGGTGTAAATGCGGCCATTGTGAGTTGATAGCAAAACGATTGAATGCTTTTGCTTTCATGAAAAAGCGGTTGAATATGACGAATATGATGGCAAACTTAAATCGGCACAGGATGCAGGCTTGTCTTGCCTTACTGAACTTGCTTCCTTCAATCAAAACATATCAGCAAACGTCCTTGAAATAGATACTTGGCAGTATATTGAAGAAAACAGTCCGTTAGGTGATGACGAACAAGAAGTCATACACAAAATATACCGTCATGTTGCGTAGCAAAGATGTTCGAGATGGATTTTTCATATTCTTGGGAAGAAATGTCAAAGGCCATTTCCATCTTGCATGTACAAATGCATACGAGGGAAGTATGCCAAGTAAATTGAAATTGGATTTGAGGTATTTGAGATTTCAAGGCTTTTCAATTTTCATCATGTATTGTTGCATTTCATGGTTTGGCAACCACAACTTTCCGTACATGGACGATTCATATTTCGACAATAACATCGGCTTGTAGCACATTTTCCCTTGAAAAGAAATACTGTGTCATTTATTTTATTGTCGGGCAAAGCAGGCGTTGTAAATCTACTGTGTCTGCGAGTGATGACTTCATTTTTTGGCTGCCCTTGCTTCCCACACAAGTATGTTTCCACAAGTGAGGGAGGTTCTTTCGGAAGCAATGTTTTCGCATTCTCCAATGCTATTTTTGTGATGTTGAAATCTTTGCGAAGTCTCAGACACTCATTCTGAACATTTTGCACATAATCTGAAAATTTTAAATGTATTTCGCATTAACATTTTGTCATTAATGATTCTGATTTGTCAATTAATTCTTACTGTAGGTAGGACAGTCGCTTATTGGTTTGTCAACAGCTTTTTCTCCCTTGTGAGCTTTAGGGTATGCAACTGACCATCTTTTATCACCTTTTTGTGTTGTTGCTTGGGGTCTATTAGCATTTTCATTGTAATGTAAATTTGCACAAAATAACCTGAAAATTTTACAATGGGTAACTGTATAGGCTGGAATAACACATTACTCTTTATTGGTCAAAGCAACCCTTTTTTAGAGTAAAATATGTGAGAAAAAATGCATGTTTTCACTTGACCATGAGTGAGTGATATGGATAGTATGTATTTTTTGATGCAAAAAGATTATCAAGTGAATGCTTTGCCTCCAAGCCTGATGTTTGTTGGTGACTTGACAGCTTTCTAACTGCACTTATCAATCTTGGTCTTGAAATAAGTTCAGTTAGTTTCTTATGAGCTGCACTACCTTAAAAAGTATAAAGAGGTCAGTCTTATGAATAGATTGATAGGAAGCAAGATTATAATATACATGCAAATGCTTCGAGACTTGTTAAAGAACAGGTGCACCGTGCACTTATTTTTTTTGTGTATAGTGATGAAGTCTCCATGAATGAATCGGAGCTAGATACTACCCTTTACCTTTTTTTAACCATTGCCGTTTAGTAGCTTCATGCAAGCATTTGGTAAACACCTTGTTGCCTTCGTGAGTATGAATATGAGCAATGTGATTTGCCAAACTTTTCCACTTTTCATCTTATTCAATTTCAGTACTGCTGGAGCAATGTGATTTGCCAAACATTTCCACTTTTCTTCTTTTTCAATTTCAGTACTGCTGGAGCTTGCCACCCAATACAAATGATTTATGTTAGACTGTTAGATAAAGTTTAAGATATAGCTACAAGTGTCACTCATACTTCTCTGGAATGGCATGATATACATTTTTTAAATGTAGTTACCCCAATCCAAGGCTTAATTGCACAAAATTTCTTCTTTTTTACAAGTTTAAGTAACTTCTTTTTCTCTCCTAAAAGGTTCAATTTAAATACATCATACTTTATCACATGATTCACAATTCCATTGATTTGATTCACAACTGATGCACTTATATTTGAGTGATTAATACTTGCAAATAGAGAATTAGCTGCACCTTTTGCCACATGCCAAACATCATAAACATGTTCTATTTCTGGCTTCTCCTTAGCCATGTAAGATGTAACCTGGATGTGTCTGTCAGTCACAAGCTTGGTAATTTTAACATCACCATTTTCAAGGTATGCAAGTTGACGCTTGATGGGTTCTAGCTCCATGGCATTGAAATTCTTGACTTCAGTGCTCTGAGTATTGATAAAGTATAGAGAAATATCATACGAAAGAAGACTATATTATATCAACGGATATTTTCAGACGATCATTATAATATGTTAATAAGCTCTGTCATTACCTTTATGATCTGTGTATCAAGTATGACATTGTTATCGACGTCCAAAGATCTCCCGGAACCAAACAACCCGCTATGACCTGGGCTATCTACTTGAATATCTGACGCAATACAGCAAGTTTGTCCTTTTAGTTTTTGTAACAATCTCTTTTTCTCACCACCCCAAACATTGAACACGGCAGGTATAACATACGCCGATTGCAATCTTGAAAATTCACGACGTGTGAAACATTTTATTTTCAATGCACTGGGAAGTCAAAGAACCTTAGCACATTCTAGCCCTATGGTCAAGATGCCTGAGGTTAGCATCAGGTGAAATACCGGTAGTCTATTACACAAGGGGCCTGTGCACCATGTATAGCTATGGGTTTCGTCTAGTAAGCATTGAACGGATATTCTGGAAAAGGTTCCAATGGTGTTTGCTACGCTAACAAGGCAATTATTACCACATTTAGAGCAGCGATGGAAACATTCAACCAGGGAATCTTCAAACACAATAAATTTCCTTTGATCTTGCGGAAGCTTGTTATGTGACAAAATCTTACTCGTGCATTTAGATTCTACATTGCTGTTAATATTGTCTTCGAGCTCTGAGTCTTCAATATTTGTATCTCCAAGTACGAATTCTTCACTATCTGTATCTTGCTCCTGATCATATTCATTTCTATCATTTTTGTCTACAGTTTTGGAAAATCTGTTATCGTCAAGACCAATATCAGATGTGCCAAATGGCAACTGTACACAACCCAGAGTGGCTTTTGTTTCATCTGTCTGCGAACTAGTGGATGTCATTTTTCCACTTTTTGTAAAAAGGTCTGCCTTTAGTCTCTCCGCCGTTATGAATGTTTAAACAGCGACACTTTTAAATTGTTTTTGATGATTGTAGCATCTGCACGGCTTTCCAATTTTTGTCGCTTTGTCTTTTTTACTTTGTGTAATTTTTCTTTTTGACAAAGAACTAGCATGGTGCGTTGTTTGGATTAATCTGAGTTCTCATGGAAAATAACCTCCCCACGAGGACTGCATGCATCTGCGTTTACAATTTCTTCCTCAACCGGGGCACATTTGTTCTCTATGTATTCTCCTACCATGGCATCAATATCCTGTCATGAAGCAAAATAGCCAGAAACTAAAGTTAGCAAGTTTCTGTGAAAGTAGAAATAATTTCTTTTCCTAAATATTAAAGACTTTTTGACATTTTACCTTTCTTCTCGAGTGACTGCCTGTGCATCGACTCTTTGCAGTTAGTTTTTCAGCTTCACTTGCGGTCGTGGATTTATTTAATGTGGGTATAGCATCACCCTTTAGCATGGCTTTCTTTTTCCCAGAAAAGTTAATTGAATTTAGAAAAGACGGTGAACAGGATGGTATATAGGCATCGTTCTCAAAATGAAGAGAGCAAGTAGTTGAGTTCTTTGTAGGTTTGTAACCCTTTCTTTTACAAAATTCAATCCAAATTTTTTCTCGTTTTTTTTCATCTGTATTTTTTACGCCGTTTGGGAAAGTGAAAAAATGAATAGAATTGTCAGAATTATTTTTGCTGTTACTGTAACATCCATATATTGCACTGTACATGATCGCTGAAAACTTTCGCACAATCTGCCTTCTGCAATACGACTCTAATTCATCAAATTTGTATGACCAGTTCATACACCAATAACTACAACTTTTCCGAACTCCCGAACCAACGCTTGCAAGCTTTATTTATGTATAATTATTCGGAAGTGGTTTTTGGGGTCTACATGACGCACAACTTTGCCATCCCGTTTCTACCTACATCCTACCGCAATGACGCATTGCGATGAGGAAGTGTTCTCTTAACATGACTATACTATTTTACATCAACATAATGTCCGTTATATCGTATAATCTATAATATGACACAGTCACACACTACACAACATAACATGACAATTTACAACAAAATCTGCTGTCTACAATAATACAATTCTTAATTTCTAATTAGCAGCAATTTTAAAAAACACTTGAGAAAAACGACGATTTTTTTTGAGAGCAAACATGTTTCGACATTATCAGAATGCCATCTTCAGTGAAGAATGATTAGTGTTAAGTAATATGATACATAATATGATATGAGTAAATTAATTACAATGAGTATTAAGTATTAATAACTATAACGTAAGTTCTAAAAATAAGTATTAAGAATTTATAACAAAAGCATTATTATAAAGTAAATATAGTGTTGTAGTGGTGAACTTGGATATTTAAATCGGGATTAGTTTTATTAATGTGTAGAGCTTCCTTGATTTTGAGTGAGAAAGTGGATTGATCAGTGTCGATGATTTTAAAACAGGAAGGTGAGAATTTGTTTTTACATGAAGGAGAGGCTTGAAGATGTTTGTAGATAGTGGAGTTTTTGTCTGTGTGAGTATGTTCCTTTATCCTGGTAGATAATTGGCGAGAAGTTTCACCAATATAACGGGAATTACATCCCGCACATGAAAATTGATAAACTACCATAGATTTGGTAAGCTCGAGAAGTGGGTCTTTAAACGAAAATAAAGATTTTATTTTGAAAGATGTGAAAATAAGTTTAACGTCAATGTCAGTGCAGTAGCGTTTAATGATTTGTGTGAGTTTGCGTTGTGTGTGTCGTGAGTAATCACCTATATAAGGTAGTTTGAAATAACGTTTATTGTCAGGTTGTTGTATATCGTTAGTGTTAGTTGTGGAGTTAGATGAGTCAGTGCTTTTCTTGTTGTCCAAATAGTGTTGTATAGTGTTGTTGATGAAATGAAAAGGAAAAGAATTACGTTGGAGAGTGAATATTAGTTTCTTTAAATCACGTTGAAAGCAGATGTCTGTGTTGTTGAGTTTCCGTGCTCTGTCGGTCAGTGTTCGTATCAGCCCAATTTTGTAATTTAATGGTGTGAAACAAAAAAAGTTAGTCAGTAGTCCTGTATATGTTGGTTTGTGGTACGTAGAGGTCATACAGTTTTCATGTGATTTAGTTAGTAAGATGTCAAGAAAGGGTAACTGATTGTCTTGTTCGGTTTCGTATGTAAAGTTTATGCTTTGATGTTGTTTGTTGATGTATTCGTAAAAGAGTAATGCTTCGTCTTTGTTATGAAAAATACAAAAAATGTCGTCAACGTATCTGCGGTAAAATAAAGGTTTGTTGTTGCTGTAGTTATTTAACCAGTTTCGTTCGTGAAAACCCATGAAAATGTTGGCTAGAATGGGTGCCAAGAGTGAGCCCATACTTACCCCGTCAATTTGGTCGTAGTAAGCCAAGGGTGAGCCCATACTTACCCTAAGTTCTTTTGACTTTGAAAGCCTTTTTACCAACATACCACTGACCGAAACCATAGACATTGCTGTTGATTTAATTTTTACCAACAACCCTACATTCAAAATGAGCAGAACAGAACTAAAACTATTGTTTAACATCACTACAGCCGAGACTCATTTTTTATTTAACGGTAAGTACTACGACCAAATTGACGGGGTAAGTATGGGCTCACCCTTGGCACCCATTCTAGCCAACATTTTCATGGGTTTTCACGAACGAAACTGGTTAAATAACTACGGCAACAACAAACCTTTATTTTACCGCAGATACGTTGACGACATTTTTTGTATTTTTCATAACAAAGACGAAGCATTACTCTTTTACGAATACATCAACAAACAACATCAAAGCATAAACTTTACATACGAAACCGAACAAGACAATCAGTTACCCTTTCTTGACATCTTACTAACTAAATCACATGAAAACTGTATGACCTCTACGTACCACAAACCAACATATACAGGACTACTGACTAACTTTTTTTGTTTCACACCATTAAATTACAAAATTGGGCTGATACGAACACTGACCGACAGAGCACGGAAACTCAACAACACAGACATCTGCTTTCAACGTGATTTAAAGAAACTAATATTCACTCTCCAACGTAATTCTTTTCCTTTTCATTTCATCAACAACACTATACAACACTATTTGGACAACAAGAAAAGCACTGACTCATCTAACTCCACAACTAACACTAACGATATACAACAACCTGACAATAAACGTTATTTCAAACTACCTTATATAGGTGATTACTCACGACACACACAACGCAAACTCACACAAATCATTAAACGCTACTGCACTGACATTGACGTTAAACTTATTTTCACATCTTTCAAAATAAAATCTTTATTTTCGTTTAAAGACCCACTTCTCGAGCTTACCAAATCTATGGTAGTTTATCAATTTTCATGTGCGGGATGTAATTCCCGTTATATTGGTGAAACTTCTCGCCAATTATCTACCAGGATAAAGGAACATACTCACACAGACAAAAACTCCACTATCTACAAACATCTTCAAGCCTCTCCTTCATGTAAAAACAAATTCTCACCTTCCTGTTTTAAAATCATCGACACTGATCAATCCACTTTCTCACTCAAAATCAAGGAAGCTCTACACATTAATAAAACTAATCCCGATTTAAATATCCAAGTTCACCACTACAACACTATATTTACTTTATAATAATACTTTTGTTATAAATTCTTAATACTTATTTTTAGAACTTACGTTATAGTTATTAATACTTAATACTCATTGTAATTAATTTACTCATATCATATTATGTATCATATTACTTAACACTAATCATTCAGCACTGAAGATGGCATTCTGATAATGTCGAAACATGTTTGCTCTCAAAAAAAATCGTCGTTTTTCTCAAGTGTTTTTTAATACAATTCTTATAACTTTCTTCTATTTGTAATCATCTCTCAGACTTTGGCGACAATGTTTCATGAAGCTTTAGCTGTCATATTTGTTGATGTTTTTCATGGTCTACGATTTCCTACGAGTGGAAATGAACATGGACACGAACAAGCTCCGATACAACCATACAATATGTATTCTGAATATATAAATATATAACTTATTTTACTTTTTTTATTTCATTATGTATATTGCATGTACATGATGTAAAAAAAGTGAGAAAAAACGTTTTTTTAAGAATAATTCACACTGACTTCATCAAAACACATATAAAAGTATATTGTGTTACCAGATATGCCTCCCAGTTGTGACGTCATTGCATAAATCTGCATATCTCATTATATTCAAAACAAATCAAAATGGCCGTGGAACTTTGAAATTGGAGTCAGAAAAACCTTTGTTACATGCAGTGGCGTGCGGTGACCGAATTTATTAGGCAAGCGCTGGGGGTGAGGTTCGCAGCTTGCCGGCAGTCAAAACAACAATACAATATACTTTGTGATTGACTGCGTTACAACACATTTAAAGCGTATTTTACGGGTTTTTTTGCTGTAATGGATGACATACACGAAAATCAACCGGGTGAGGTTCTGCCCTATCAATATGAACCTGAAGTGAAGGCCGAAACTAGTGAAGAAAGCGGTTCCGAACAGGAGAGTGAGCAGAGTGACTTGTCCTCGTCGGAGGATGAAATACATGCTGAATTTGAGAAAGCAAATGCTTAGCGCCTTCAAACTGGTTTAAGTGTGGACAATGTACTTTGTCAAAAAAGGCAATCGAGTGTTTTTGTTGCCACGAAAAAGCGCTTGAATACGATGAGTATGAGGCTTTGCTAGGCAAAACAGAAACTCAAGGAGTAAATTGCTTGACAACACACCAAGGAATTTAGGGACAATATGCTCTCAGAAAGTGTGTTAAAGATAGACGTGTGTCGGTACTTGTACATTGTGCACGCAAACACGCACGTAAAACATTACGGATAAAGGAAACTCTACAGTCAAGAACAAAACATAGCGGCTTGGAGCTTATCACCTATATAAAACTACATAATCTTTCAAAGACTCTTATGTATACAAATAGTAAGTTAAACGTATAACTCATTTGTTGGTCACAGGTTTGTAATATGGGAAAATGAAATATTTCTATTGCACGAAATGTTCAGTGTATAAAGCGCGCTTGTTGTTGTCTGGGCTTACACTTGGTATGTCGGCAAAACCTAGTTGTAAGATCTGCTAAAATAAACATTTCTACGTCTTATAACGACTAAATATTGGAAAAGTATATAAGCGTGATAAACTACACAATTTTCGTTAATGTTAACAACCGCCGACTGTTTTTTGTTTTAAAATTCCAGTGAACAAATGTGCTATATATAATTATAATACTATTATTTCATATTGTGTCATTCAGTTGATACCAGCCAATGACGTCAGTAATGTATTCCGGCATAATTTAGCATAAAGCTTTTTTTTCAAAATGGCGGATAAAGATTAAACTTAATGTCAAATTTTCACAACAGTAAAATTCAAAAGAGACACGAAAACATGAAATTAAGTATTCCATAGCTATCTATGATAAACGTATGCAAAAATAATTTTCGTTGCCAATGTCCTTTAAACTTACGCACTTAACTTTATAATTACGTAAAACTACTCAAATTTCAAGTACATTATCCGCTGTGTAATAACTGCACCTTCTTTAACCAAATATATAAAAAGCTTGTAAATAAATTCTAACACATAGAACACTCACGACTGTTGTAAATAACTTCTTCGCTAGTGAATAAAATAATCACAAAATTTAATAGCGTTCTAGTACATTGAACTCACGTTCGGAGCTCATACGAAAGACTTATATATAACGCTAAAATCTACCGGACACAAATATCAAAACTACTACGCAAAAGGAAGCTCTTGTCAATATCATAATCTTGTATTACATGCTACAGATAATATCT